CCTGCCTGTCTACCTCCCTGCCTTTCAACCTGCTTGCTTGCCTGCCTTTCAACCTGCCTGCATTCCTGCCTGTCTACCTCCCTGCCTTTCAACCTGCCTTCTCACCTGCCTGCCTTCCTGCCTCTCTACTTTCCTGCCTATCTCCCTGCCTGTCTGTTCATCCAGGCTACTTACCAGTCTGCCGTCCTCTCTGCCATTGTGCCTGCCTGCCTTTCTTCCTGTCTACTTACCAGCCTGCCTGCCTCTCTGTGTTATGCCCTCCTGTCCTGCCTGCTTTCCTGCTTCACTGCTTACCTGCCTGTCTGCCTGCTTGTCCTGCATGCCTCCATGCCTGCCTGTCCTGCCACCCTCGCTGCCTGTACTGTCTGCCTCCATGCCTGCCTGTCCTGCTTCCCTTCCTGCCTGCCTGTCCTGCCTGCCTCCCTGACTTTCTGTCCTGCCTCCCTGCCTGCCTGTCCTGCCTGCCTCCATGTCTGCCTGTCCTGCCTCCATGTCTGCCTGTCTTGCCTCCATGTCTGCCTGTTCTGCCTAACACCACATCTCCCTATCTTGCCTCTATGTCTGCCTGTCTTGCCTCCATGTCTGCCTGTCCTGCCTCCATGTCTGCCTGTCTTGCCTCCATGTCTGCCTGTCCTGCCTCCATGTCTGCCTGTCCTGCCTCCATGTCTGCCTGTCTTGCCTCCATGTCTGCCTGTCTTGCCTCCATGTCTGCCTATCTTGCATCCATGTCTGCCTGTCCTGCCTCCATGCCTGCCTGTCCTTCCTCCATGTCTGCCTGTCCTGCCTCCACGTCTGCCTATCTTGCCTCCATGTCTGCCTATCCTGCCTCCCTCCCTGCCTGCCTGTCCTGCCTGCCATAATGCCTGCCTGTCCTACCTCCCTCCCTGCCTGTCTTGTCTGCCTCCCTGTCTTCCTGTCCTGTCTGTCTTTCTTTCTGCCTACTTTCTAGCCTCCCTGTCCTGCCTGCCTCTCTGCCTATGTTCCTTCTGACTGCACGTGGTTTTCATTTTTCAGTCTGGACAAAATGTGGAGCCTATGGATCTTCCATCACATGCTGTGTTTCAGCCACAGAAACGCCTTTTTGATGCTATCAATGAAAAACGGGATTTCTTAGGACAATCCCAGGTATGATCTGACCCAAATACATGTCTTATCATAACGCTGTTTCCGATTGTTTATTTTTTGTTTGTTTGTTGTTTTGTTTTGCTGTTATTGTTTGCAAATACTAGGGGGCCAAAGATTTTCTAAAATAATTCTAATTTCTTATAAGAAGTTAACCCAAAGTTAAGAAGCAGTATAGCCCACAGTATATGTACATGGATGAGTCAAACGTGCATGTTTATTTGTGTCGTGTGGAACCCATTAGGCATGTCTGCTTTGTTCATAATAAGTTTCCATTTAAGGTTTAAACAGTGAAACTGTAATGTTCTGAGCACAAACACTTTGATTAATTAAAACTCATGCGCGACCTTTTCGTAATGAACCTAGTTATCTCTTCCTCCACTCAAATACTTCTAATTGACATTTTACTCTCAAACATGTTTTTCAGATCAACCGAGAAGAGACTTGAGAGAGAGTGGCATGCTTTAATTTTCCCATTTATGTCTTTTCACTCCCCTCCCCCTGGTCACCGCCCAATAGCTTTTCATAGACTACAAGAGGTGACTGACAAATTTCTGCTCACATGTTTCATATTATTAAGATGACAACTATTCACAGTCTAAACATTTCTAAATCTCGCTGCAGTTTCAAGCAATTGGTAATACGCTACATCCTTAGCTGAAGATTGCAGTTATTTGTGAGAGAAAAGGAAGAAACTTGTGAGGCAAACTCAGTGAATCATGACTGATAAATTTAAATACTTGAGTGGCATGTCAATGATGGTAACTAACTTTCCAGGCATGCTTTAAACACCTGGCTTCACATTACAAGGATTGCATTGTAGTCTCAGGTTATTAAACTGTACTGAGTCTTTCATAGGCTCAACCATAGGTAACAAAGGCTTAGAAACAAAATTACTGCAAATCACCATCACACTTTTTTGTTTCATCGCTTTTATGCCGCATTTCTGCTTTAGTTTTGTCCTACGGCCAAGTATAATCGACTTCCTAAGATTGCTCCCAACCCTTATCAATTAAGGTTGTACACTCTTGTTTAGGTCAGCAGTGTACGATCCCAATCTGTGAGCAGGCTACCATTCAATGAACTGTAATTCTCCCAGTTTCCTATCCTCTTTCCGCCCCCCTCCNCCCCCCCCCACCACATGCCACGTCCCAAATTGTACAAATTCAAATTCTGTGTCAGTTATTATTGGCCGAGGAACGAACCTAACTGGTCACATTGCTAGTAGAGGCGGACTGTAGTAACATGAAGCTAGCTCAGTGGTCCTTATGAAGGCTCCTTTTCCTCCAGGTTGTAGCTGCCAATGAGCTAACAAAGTTTCCAGATGGACGTAAACGTTCTTCGGTAAGTTCATCATAGAATAATAAGTGGTACCCTT